GCGGATTACGCTCGAGCAAGCGTCGATCAAGAGTATCCCATAGATGTCCAATGGGGGACTAATCGGGTGATCGAGAAGGCCATGGTAACATCTGAACGCTATTTTGCTGGAGAAGGTCCTGGCAAACACGTGCAACGTGAGGTAGAGCATTGTCATGCTGGAAAGATCCACCGTTGACGTTGATGAAGGGAACGACGTGACGTTGCAAAATTTCCTCTCTATGGCGAACGCCATTATGATGGATACCTGCCCACGCCATGGCACTTCCACTACCAAATCTATCGACCTGCTATACACAGTAAAACTGTTATCGGTGTTATCGGTGTGACTTTCGTTCCGACGTCTGTATACACGTGAATGTCCATCAGTACGTCTGAGAAGAAACCGAGACTCGTCTGATACCAAAATTGTCCTCCATCTTGCCCGCGGCCATCTCATTCGTTGTCTGCTCCATTGTAGACGTTCAGCCCGGTGACGTTGTGTCAAGACGTTTTGTCGAACTGGTCTTCTGGCAAAATGTCCGGCTTCCCGTTGCGCATTGTCTGGTCGGATATTCGGCGCAGAAGAAGGATTTGGTTGTTGTGGATGTTGCGGTCGAGGTGCGTGAACTAAGATGTCTCAGCCGGATGTAGCGATCCTGGGCGGCAGTGGTAGCGCTAGGTCGACCTGGCCTGGGTCTGTCATTAACACTCCCAGTATGTTTGTATCGGGTCCCTAGGTTGGAGATGATCTGTCTGGACACGCTTAAGTACCTTACCACCTCATGTTGTGACGCCCCTCCTTGTAAACGGCCGATGGCGTCGTGCCGTTGAGCTTCTGTCAGTCTTGGCTTTCTTTTGTCGTCTATAGTTGGCTAAAAGCAATGCATGTGGAGCACCGTCTTTTTAAAGCCTACAGTCATATACTTCAGCTCGAGGGTGATACACAATTTCATGATGCACGTGCACCGTGAACGTGCATTTCATGTAGGGTGTTTGTTCCACGTTTCTTTTTTCGAACGTTTTGTCGTCGGCAACCATTCCTCAACATGTTTGGATTCAGCATGGATTGGTTTGTGTCAAATATTTTCCTAAAATTCAAATTGTTCTTATGTCAAGTTTCATTTTTTGAAGAGTATATATTGTAATTAATTTAGTTTCTGATTTCCTGAAAGTGGTCAGTGTTAGGGCTACATGTGGCCTTACCAATTTGCAAAGGAGAAGAAAGCAATCGGAAACGAGATACGTTTTCTAGCTCAATGTGAGAATGAAAAGTGAAGGGTTTTATTCTTATTCCAATACCTTCCAACGACCTTCATAGAAAATGTCGGACATGGTGGGGAAGCTACGTGCCCGGTTTGAAGAACACAGGACATCTGACCACTCGCCGCACTAAGCAACATTAATGCGAGTGAGTGAGTTTGGTTTTACGCCGTTTTTAGCAATATTCCAGCAATATCACGGAGGGTGACACCAGAAATGGGCTTCACACATTGTACCCATGTGGGGAATCAAACCCGTATCTTCGGCGTGATGAGCGAACGCTTTAACCACTAGTCAACCCCACCGCCCCTCATTCATGAGACATGACGGCGGCCTAAAAATTCGAATCTGGACCAAACAATCCAGTGACTGCTATTGTGAACAACCATCCAGACCGTCACCTTGCCTGACCATCCGATCCATTTTGACCTCTTCTAAACCGAAATCTCCATGGGGATTAGGTGAGTGAGTGAGTGAGTTTAGATGTACGCCGCACTCAGCAATATTCCAGCTGTATGGCGGCGGTCTGTAAATAATCGAGTCTAGACCACACAATCCAGTGATCAACAGCATGAGCATCGATCTGCGCAATTGGGAACCGATGATATGTGTCAACCAAGTCAGCGAGCCTGACCACCCGATCCCGTTAGTCGCTTCTTACGACAAGCATGGGTTACTGAATACCAATATTCTAACCCGGACCTTCACGGGTATGGGGATGAGGTGGCTCCCGGTAATCCCAAACTTGTCCAAATATAGCATATGGTTACCACCATCTAATATTCAACAGGTTTCTGCAGCCGTGAAGATCCGGGTAAAACTGGGCTTCAGCAACCCATGCCTGTCGTAAGAGGCGACTAAAGTGATCAGGCTCAGTGAATTGGTTGACACATGTCATGGTATACCAATTGCATAGATTGATGTTCATGCTGTTGATCACTGGATTGTATGGCCCAGCCGATCGTCTACAAGCCGTCGTCATATAGCTAGAACATTACTGGGTACACACAAACACACAAAACAAAAATCAACGGAGACAAGGAAATAGGAACAGGAAGTAATATTTCAGTCAAAACCAGCAAAATATTCCTATCAAAGTTCAGCAACAAAATATTTTAAAGACATCCGGTACGCCCAGCGAATAATGTATTTGCTCATGGCAAAACCCGAGGACCAATTATTTTTCCATTTTGAGCTGGAACACATACCTAAAAAACATCCGTGGAAATGACTGATGACAGTGGAAGTAAAAGGTTTATGCTTTCAGACATATAGTGTTCAAAGTATTATTCCGCAGGAGTTAATGGAAAACGTGTTTGTACTTTTTGTCAATACAATGGAAGATTCCAAACTGTAACTACCTATATGTGCGATTTTGAAATGTATTGAAAAAATCCTTTTGGAGTATGGATATTAATATCAAAGCAATGTACAACATAGTTTCAGGGAGCAAATGGATATATTATATATGTCGCTCGTAATATCGCTGCCTCCCGAATGGAAATATTACTGTACATCACTTAAATGTATTTTTTAGAAAATACATTTGCAAAATTGCATTTTGGGTTGCTGACAAGTTTCAAACTGAAGCAGAATCATAACAGGCTCCGATCCTCGTGACCTACACCCGCACACCCACATGTACAAAGAGGTACATTGGTCCACTATTCCAGCTGCTATGTAGACGTCGACGTTTGTAAGCATTTAAGTGGTTGATAATACGAGTGCCTTTCCACGTCTACAGCAGAGGTAGGACACTGAAAACAAGCTTTTGACGCAACACAAAAATCGTAAAATCTTCACTGGACATTCTTGCTTTTCTGAACAAATTTGCTTTAAAACAATAATTGTTCGGCGCATCCTTACATAACTAGAAACCATTTGGCAACGTCTACAGGCAGCTTACTTTCGAAGAAAATGTTGCATTAAAGTGCTGAATGCAATGGTGTCATGGACATTGTACCCTTAACGAAACTGAACAGAATGTGATCTCATCGTTAGAAGAAACATAAAGTTCTCATTCTTCCGACTCCCAGTGTCAGACGGCTGCCTAGGTGGCCATATGGAAAGTCGTATCCGAACAAATTCAAGTGTAATCGTTGATGGAGTCAAACATGTGACGGTTTTGTTTCAGTTTGATTCCTGGGAAGACGTCACTGACGCTGACGCTGACGCTGACGACTGTGACATTTTTAAAATTCAATTCTGATTAGGAATTCTGGAGATGTCAGTGTCAAATATATTCGGCACAAAGTAAGCAAGACTGACTGCCTGAGTTTGGTTTTACGCCCCTTTTAGCAATATTCCAGCAACATCACGGCGGGGGACACCAGAAATAGGCTTCACACATTGTACCCAAGTAAATACTTACGAAAGCCGATTAGCTGAGCATCAGCAATACACAATAGCGATATAAAGATCAACAACAATACACGAAGAATAGCTAAACCAACACTTGTGACAAGGTATTGAACGTATGTATAGTGTTATACGTTGGGCAACAATGTATGGGCAGTTATACATAGTGAGTGAGTGAGTGAGTTTAGTTTTACGCCGCTTTTAGCAATATTCCAGCAACATCACGGCGGGGACACCAGAAATGGGCTTCACACATTGTACCAATGTGGGGGATTCGAACCCGGGTCTTCGGCGTGACGAGCCAACGCTTTAACCACTAGGCTACCCCACCGCCCCAAGTAAGCAAGAACAAGTCTCGACATGCACTGTTGTTTCCAGAAAACAATACATCACTGGGAATGGAATTCTCAGAATTCAACCGTGTGGGGAATCGAACAAGCGAACGCTGTAACTACTACGTCACCCTTAAACTCACGTGACGTTCCGTGATTGTGAATCAAAGAAACAATCAGTAACTATTTATGTCGGTTCAAGCAGTAATTTGACTTCATGGTAATCGAACCCGCGATTTCGGCGTAACAACGCTTTTCCCCCACAGAAGAATGGTGGTGGAATTGGGTTTAACGTCGTGCTTGAGAATATTTCGCTCATATGACGACGTGCATGCGTGTGTATGTGTATGTGCGGCTGCTTGTACTAGCCCAGACTGAAGATGGTTTTATAGTGCTAGCCCACAGAGATACCATGCCGCAGTGAAGCATGAATACCCCACTCAGACACATTATACTGACTCCGAGCCGACCAGTCCTTGTTGTACACATTAATGCCGAGCCCCAGGCAGGGAACAAAAAGTACCATATTTTAACGTCTTTTGGTATGACGCGGTCGGGGATCGAACCCGCGACCTTCCGCACTCCGGGCGGACGCTCTAACCACTACACCACGGAGGCGGTCCACAGAAGAATGGCAAAACATGGCTATGTATGCAATATGAAGCTGTTGAAGCAGTTTTTTTCACGCTCTCGTACCTCTGTTTTGGTCAGTTCATATTGTTATATCTTTCCTGTATTTTTCACTTTAAATACATGAGTGAGTAAAAATAGTTTTTCTCAGATGTTAACAATATTTCAGTAATATCAATGTTTAATACACAGTTACCATGTGGGAATAAACTCCGAGTCTTTGACGTTACGAGCGAACGCTTTCGGGAATTGGCGACCTCAACGCCCACAAATTGTTTATACCATCATACCGTTGACATGTTTCAGCCTACGTCAAAAAGCTTCCCACCTGGTACCCACGTTGAGAACATAACGAGCGAACGCATTAGCCACTAGGCTATCTTAAACACATTAAAACACGTCACAGGCAACACACAGTGGACAAAGTCAACGAAGTAAGTCCTGTTGCAAAGCATTTTATTCATTTGTACTGAACAGTGAGCATTAGCGAGTGACAGCCTGTGCAATGCCAGACATGATATGAACACAGGAATGCAGCAACCACGGACTCATCAGGGTTGCAATGGTATCCACGGGGTGGGAGTGTCACGGCCATCATACTCAGAGTGTGATATAACATCGTGGACCTATGGCATGTTATACATGGTGTTCTATTTACCAGACAATCCTAGGTAGGTGTGGGGACATCACTTCTAGCCTACATCTCACATCACTCCGACAATCCCTCTCACAACAAACGATCACTGGCAAGTATACATAATAATAGTAACAATTATAAATCCCGTCAATAATTATAGACAACTTAAGCCTGAAGCCGTGAGCACAAACACGGTTGCCTGGGAAGCCACCACCAATCACATCGGATTCAGATTCTTCAGCATATGTGGCATTGCAAAATCACGGCATATGTTATTGCACTTATGGTTTTGAAAGACCTGCAAAATTCCAGCCTCGCCTTGATCACTTTCCCCGAAACGGTAATCGGAGGAGTGAATGGTCGGCGTGGCAAGCTGATAACCAGTGTCCGACTCCACGCCCTGTAAACAGCTGATCACCAGGGACCTGTTAGAAGCTTCGTACGAGAAGTGCACAAACGCATGCAAGAGGGAGGTTCCCCCAGCAGCGCTCCGGCCGCGATCATCGATGAATTTCTTGAAGTTATCACCAATGTACTCTTCGATCAGCACCCACTCGCCGGATTCCAGCTGGCGTGATTTGCTCATGTTGTTGGTCGTGGATAGTTTGGCAACACGTTCCAAGGACGATCTGTAGGGAAGTATGAATCGTAACCACTGCCCGCTGCTCTTCATGGTGTCATTGTAAGTCTGTGAGATTTTGTGCGCCTCCAGGTTCTTGGAAATCTCAGTGTCACACTGTTCCCTGCTGGCGGGGAACTCCCTGAACGGCTTGACGATGACTATTTCACTGTTCCTCGCCCCGTTTCCAGTAAGAGCACCTTTGAAGACCATCTTTCTTGCACCACTGACAAAGGGCCGGGCGTCCATGTCCACTCTGTATTTCCCTCCGTTCGAGTCTCCATCGAACAAAGCTGTCACGATTGGTGCTGCCATAGTGTTGTCAGGTCTGGACTGTTATACCATTATTCTGAAAAACAAAACATCTCATGAGATACGACACACAGATTCGAAGCTGGTCCGCAGCCCTCTGAAGGCGCCCCCCTGACCTGACTGCAGAACAGGGCATGAATTAACGATGTCCTGTGAATCAACTCTGGCCTAACTGTCACCATTCACTGTTTCTCCTGGGGGCGATGGATGACCTCAAACCACAACACAGACTAATTAATGCAGTAACTATTACATATGAAACGTATGGCTTTCAGTCCTACGTGAGTTTTTATATAACCAGGATATTTTCACAAGATTAAGTAAAATCAAACTCTGTATAATGTATACTATCCTCTCAATACCAGACGAGATGTATTCTAACCTTCAGGGTTATTATTACACTGCCCAAGGGTGATAGCCCCGAATCTCATATAATCTTGAAAACCCTTAATTAATCACAAACAACGTGCCTGGAGCATAGGAGAGAAAACGTGTTTCGGGTTGATATTGTTGGTGAATTTATACTCTCCTCTGTTTAGTATGGTTTGGTTATTGTTTAACGCCGCACACAGCAATATTCCAGCTATATGGCAACGACAAGCATAGTTTACTGAAGGCCAATGCTAACCCGGATCTTCACAGGAATACCCAGCTCTGGACATATTTCCATGGCGGTTATACCCGATGTGGGAGGAAAACCCGAAGCAATGCAGAACTTCAATATGTTACCATTTTGTTGACGTCGATGAGCAAAAATGGGCTAGTTTGGAATTACCATCATTATTACAACATTCTGAGATTCTTGAGAGGCATTTAGACGTTGATGAATATATAAGACGAGTATATGGATGACCACTTCTTCTTTATTGCATAACACGACGTTTCTGGGCTCCTTCTTGCCCCTTCTTCAGGTAAAATGTCCTGAAGAAGGGGCAAGAAGTAGCCAAAAAACGTCTTGTCATACAATAAAGACTGACTGACTGACTGAGTTTGGTTTTACGCCGCTTTTAGCAATATTCCAGCAACATCACGGCGGGGGACACCAGAAATGGGCTTCACACTTTGTGCCCATGTGGGGATTCGAACCCGGGTCTTCGGCGTGACGAGCCAACGCTTTAACCATTAGGCTACCCCACCGCCCATATACAATAAAGAAGAAGTGGTCATCCATATACTCGTCTTATACCACATCCTGGTTCGTCAAAGAGAAGCGACTCTTCACATCAAACTGAGCAACATTTGATTGCAGTGCTATCCATGTCAATGTTTAGTAACCAGTTTTCATACACATACACATGTGCATGTATAAAGGTGAGGTGGGGTGAGGTGAGGTGAAATTGGGTTTAACGTCGTGCTTGAGAATATTTCGCTCATATGACGACGTGCATGCGTGTGTATGTGTAAGTGCGGCTGCTTGTACTAGCCCAGACTGAAGCTGGGTTTATAGTGCTAGCCCACTGAGATACCATGCCGCAGTGAAGCATGAATACCCTACTCAGACACATTATACTGACTCCGAGCCGACCAGTCCTTGTTGTACCCATTAATGCCGAGCGCCAGGCAGGGACCAACAAGTACCATATTTTAACGTCTTTTGGTATGACGCGGTCGGGATTGTATAAAGAAAACAGCAGGGTGTTAATTCATGTGAGGCTATTTCTAGAATTCATAGAGTGACAGTAAGTTTAGTTTTACTCCACTTTTAACAATACTCCAGCAACATCACGGCGGGGGACACCAGAAATGGGCTTCACACATTGTACCCATGGGGGGGGAATCGAACCCGGGTCTTAGGCGTGACGAGTGAACGCTTTAAACACTAGGCTACCCTACTGCCCCAGACTTCATAGAGGCATTATACCCAGGATAATGACCGACATGCTACTTTGAAAGAGAGCGAGTCGTGTTTAATGCTGATGTAAGCAGGATTGCAGTTCTGTCACAGTTGTTTGCTCTATATGTGTGTGTGTGTGTGTGTGTGTGTGTGTGTGTGTGTGTGTGTGTGTGTGTGTGTGCTCGTTGTACGTTGATACGGATCGATAAGGAGAGAGATTGAGGTGAGGCGATAATGCGCTCTCTCAGTGTAATCTGGTGCGTATGAGAGAGAGAGAGAGAGAGAGAGAGAGAGAGAGAGAGAGAGAGAGAGAGAGAGAGAGAGAGAGAGAGAGAGAGAGAAGAGAGAGAGAGAGAGAGAGAGAGAGAGAGAGACCCGTAGTAATGAAGGTCTTAGACGTATACAAAGCTAAAATTATAATCAGGAAGAACCACTATTCAAACCACAAGCAGAATTTTGGCCCGCATAAGGGAAGTATCTCTGCACCACAGATTTCGGTGTTCAAGACCAACTGGCTCCGATAAAAAAAAATGGATAAACGGATAATACTCACAGTACTACTACTCAACACACGATGTGGGTATCTCTGTCCTCTTCAGCAACATTTGCTTCATAACAGCCACCGAGAGCAGTATATATGTACAACAGTGCTTGACACAAACAGGCTATGATGACATTAAACTTTCGTGCTTAACTTCTCGTCACAGCCTACAATGGTCTGTCATGCTTACGTGTGGGCTGTTGTTTATAAGATATGTGACTCAGTGGCTGTACATTAGAATATCCATGTCGTCCATTCTGATCAAAAGATCTTGGCACTGACGATGTTAGTCAGACAAGGCGAGTATTGATTCACGGGCATATTGTATTGTTGGACTGAATATCAGCAATCTTCTAAAGTATCCATTATTGATGAGGGGACGTTAAATGTTAAGCCACCACTTCCAAATACTACTTCCTAAGTAATGCCTTATAAGTCCAAACTGAATCTTGTCTATATAATGCGGCGTTGCCTAGAGGTTAAAGCGTTGGCTCGTCACGCCGAAGACCCGGGCTCGATTCCCCACGTGGGTACAATGTGAGAAGCCCATTTCTGGTGTCCCCGTCGTGATATTGCTGGAATATTGCTAAAAGCGGCGTAAAACTAAACTCACTCACTCACTTTATCACGCAATGCAGACGCTTTGTCCATACGGGACATGACTGCGGGATATCCGACTCAAGCATCTTCTTAACACATGAAAAGATAGTCAATGATTGTGGTTGGTCACCATTTCAGAACATCAAAAGGTCTGCTGAAGAAGAACACCGATAACAGTGCAAGACGGAACTTCAGTGTGACTGTCGGATGGATATGAGCGAGTGACTTTAGTTTTAGGCCGCTTTCAGCTATATTCCAGCAATAGCCCATCACGGCGGGGGGACACCACAAATGGGCTTCACACATTTTAACCATGTGGGGATTCCTTCGGCGTGACAGCGAACGCTTTTACCTGATGACTGACTGACTGATGAGTTTGAACCAAGATTCCAGTAACATCACCTGGGGACACCAGAAATCGGCGTGACGAACCCGGCCTTCGGCGTGAAGAGCGAACGCTTTACTGACTGACTGACTGACTGAGTTTGGTTTTACGCCGCTTTTAGCAAGATTCCAGTAACATCACAGTGGGGGACACCAGAAATGGGCTTCACACATTTTACCCATGTGGGGATTCGAACCCGGCCTTCGGCGTGACGAGCGAACGCTTTACTGACTGACTGACTGACTGACTGACTGACTGAGTTTGGTTTTACGCCGCTTTTAGCAAGATTCCAGCAACATCACGGCGGGGGACACCAGAAATGGGCTTCACGCACTGTACCCGTGTGGGGATTCGAACCCGGCTCTTCGGCGTGACGAGCCAACGCTTTAACCACTAGGCTACCCCAGCGCCACGAACATCACTAGGGGGACACCAGGAATGGGGCTAGATATGAGGGCAATTCATAAAGCGTCAAATTTATCTGTTGGTTAACTCCGATGTAACGCAAGTATGTGAGTTTAGTTTCACGTCGTTTCTAGCAACATTCCAGCAATATCACGGCGGGGGACACCAGGAATGGGCTTCACACATTTTACCCATGTGGGGAATAGAACCCGGTTTTGGGCGTCAGGACCGGACGCTTTAACCAATAGGTTACCCCACCGCCACGAACGCAGAGATCACGCATGGGAGAGGATGGTTGTGACGTGGAGTGAATGGGAGACAGCGAAACAAGCTATACTACTGTAGCCTCAACCAGACGAGTCACTGATTGCCATCATGGCATGCCCATCTAGTTACGCAACTGGGATACGATGACAATGACAGACATTCGAAGGACATTGTACCCGGTAATGATTGCTTGGTTGGTTTGTTGTTTAACGCTGCACTCAGAAATATTCCAGCAAAATGGCAGCGGTCTGTAAATAATCGACTCTGGACCAGACCATCAATCTACGCAATTGTGGATACGACGACATGTGTCAACCAATTCAGGGGTTCAATTTTTTTTTAAAAAGCCACTTGTCACAGGGCAAGTGACTTTAAGAAAGTAACTTGTCCTGACTAATTATACACTTGCCCTGATTTTATGACATAATTATGATGATGTAATTATGAAAGAAGAAATCAACATCGTATTTGATGTTAATGTTTACTGGACTATCTATTGAAAAGTGATAAATAGCAAAGAAAGATAACTCTACTTTATTATCATTGTGAAATTTAATAGCTACGTTTTGAGCAGATATGAAATTAAATCAAAGTTTATTTGCAGTTTGAAACCATAAGTGGAAATTATCTAGTAGCCCACGGACAAGAAAGATACCATTATTTGATTGCCCGAAATGAAAACTGACTTGTCCCGGGCGTCGGGCGATGGGATTTTTGAACCCCTGCAATTCCAATTCCAAAACACAAAGGGTTCTTCTGTAATAAGGGACACCACATTAGCAGTTTGACCACCCAATCCACTTAAACTCCCAGTACATCTAGCATAGGTTGCATGGGACTTACTCTGATCCGTAATAACAGCGTTGTACTGGGAGCCGTCTACCACGTAATCATCGCCTAGTGATTTTGGAGAGACTGCAGCCGATAACAAACTGTGATCGTTAAATATGACTTCACTGTGCATACATGCGAAGTCCACAATCAATATCTTGAGTTGTAAGGCTACAGTCATTACGTGATAGTAGTGGTGTTGGTGTTACCGGTAAACCAAGATTTGAAATTAAACTGACGAATACCGTTTATTGAATTTTTCAACCACATTTCTATTTTCATCTTGCTTGCAAACTTTACATACGTGACAAGTCGAAATTATGAAATTATAAAACTGACATGTGATCCTCGTGACCATAAAAAGAGAATCAATGCGCGACCTGATTACTGTATATAATTTGCCTATGACGCACGCGTTGTGACCATGGTGACAAGTTGTTAAAATGGTGGGTTACTTTAGGTATCATATTGTCAGGCTGGCTGACTTGGTTGACACATGTCATCGTATCCCAACTGCGTAGATTGATGGTCATGCTGTTGATCACTGGATTGTCTGGTCCAGACTCGATTATTTACAGACCGCCGCCATATGGCTGGAATATTGCTGAGTGCGGCGTGAAACTTAACTCAATCACCCTGGTATCGTAGTAATATACAGATAAATGAACATGTGCAATATTTTGTGGTCCGTATCGCTATGCAATATTGCATTAAATTGTTAGAGGTGGTCAGGCAGAAATGCATCACGAGACTACACCAGAGATAGGCTTCACGCATTGTAACACAAGTGGGAATCGAACCAGTGCTTGAGGCGTTACTAGTTACCACCAGGCGTCATATCAATTAAGAGGCGTGGAGGGGAATATACGAGTAGTGCCAGTTCGATTTTAACGCCAATATAAATTGTGCCCATATGGAGAATGAAACTCGATTTTACATTGAAATTGGGAGAACATCTACTCAACGAGAACGTACTTTAGAATACGTGAAGGGACTGACAAGTTATGAAAATGTGAAAATCGATCCCAAGCCGTGTGAGGGTGGTTATTCACCAGAGGGTTGACAAAGACAGGGATATCTCACATGAGTGGCTTGAGCCGACCTGAGCTGACCTGAATTCAATGGCAACACTGGTCCCGGATTATCGCTACAAGACACCTGTTGTTAGGTACGTGTTGTCAACGGTACATGTATTGGATGGGTGGTCGTGATATCAACCACTGGTTTGACAGTAAGTGAGGGAATGCTTCACACATTGTACCCGTGTGGGGAATCGAACCCGGGTCTTCGGTGCGACGAGCGAACGCTTTAACCACTGGGCTACCCCATCGCCCATCTGGGATTTGAAAGTAAATCCCACGGTATGCTCAAGTTCAGGAGATGTATTTTAGGCCAGTCCCAATAGATAATACATACATAATCGACAGGAATTCCTCGATAGATTCACGTGTTAGGTCCTTCAACCTCGCAAAAAAAATTCTTACAAAAATACCATTTTGAGGAATTATTTGTAGTGGAGCATCTGATATGTACATGTGATTTTTTATTTCAATGGTTTTCTGAATTAATATACTGTAACTTCCAATCCACTAGAAGCATGGGTGCACATGCACGCACACACGCACACACGCACGCACGCACACACACACACACACACACACACACACACACACACACACACACACACACACACACACACACACACTACACACGCTGTTCCGAGCCACTGGGTCATTTACCAGAAAACATTTCTAAATATCTATACGTGAGTTGAGATTTTTGTCTCGGATATTGAACCTGAATATATACGGGACCCTACACTTGATAAATAAGCGTGCTTAAATAATCAACCAGGTGTTTCAATATATAATACACTAATCAAACTTTAAAATCGTTACATAAACAATAGTATGTCGTTCTTCTCGTCGTTTCTTCTGCGTTGTTCGTCGCAGCACCACGAAACCAGTAATATGTACGCGGAAGTTCACCATATTTCTAATGTACACTTTCGACATGAACACCGGTGAAGAAAATGGCGGTCACACCCAAATACACAATCACTCATTATATCATGTTTCTTCCCTCACAGCGCTGACGACACGTTGTAATCACGCATTTGAGCATCTTGTATCTTTTGTGGACAATTCATAACAATACTACACACTAACAGCTTGAACTGATGTCTGTACTTCCGTTACAATGTCGCGTGTTTACCTTTGACAAATCCCGCCACTCACATACCTCCGCTGACCCTCCCCACAACACCCTTATGTGGTTGTTGAGTAATGTAGGTGCTTCTGTGTACACGAGTCTTAGAACTGGCAAGTTATGAGAAAATAGGAAAGTGTACACGCATAGTAATCGTCGTAACTTACTTGAAACACTTCACAGTCTATCGCCACTCGCTTCGCGTGCTGTACCGGTGATGAGCCACATTAGTGACCGGTGTAAATAGTGACCGTCCTCGGTGCGCCTGTTAGCTTCAGCTTGCTTTTAACATTGGGAATTTTTCAATAAGGGTTGACAGGGAAAAAAAAGGAATATTAACAGATTATGATGGTTTATTCAAATAAAGGTCTTTATAAAAAATTAAAAACGAAATAATGAAATTCTATGTCAAAAACCGCCTTTCGTCACCACAAACTATTATCTATGACATAATTTTGTGTGACTTTTCCTGAAATGTCAGCACTTCTTCAATCTTAGTTAAACGGATATGTCCACCATAAAATGATAACCTTACACTCAAGAACTCAACGGAAAACTCGAGTATAACGGATTAGCTGATGCTTTCTGTCATGATGCGATTCAAGTCATCTCTCTCTCTCTCTCTCTCTCTCTCTCTCTCTCTCTCTCTCTCTCTCTCTCTCTCTCTCTCTCTCTCTCTCTCTCTCTCTCTCTCTCTCATACGCACCAGATTACACTGAGAGAGCGCGTTATCGCCTCACCTCAACCTCTCTCCTTATCGATCCGTATCAACGTACAACGAGCTCCTGTGTCGGTTTCACGCCGAGGTCACTGCGGATTAATGTTAGTGCCACGCCTAATATGGGAGGAATTCCCGAAGTCTCTGTTACCCGTGAGCCCGACACGGTGCTGACCATCTTCTCAAAACATTATCGTTCAGATTCTTTTTTTGAACTCTCCAAGGGCTATGGGTGTAGCTTAGTTGTTGAACGGTTGCTTGTCACGCCGAAGACCCATTCAATTCCCACATAGGTTCAACGTGTGTCAGGAATTTCTGATTTCCCCCGCCGTGATATTACTTGAATATTGCAAAAAGCGGCGTAAAACCATCCTCACTCCAACCCATTCTTTACATCGCAGTGTGCCCCGAGTGAGCCGCGTGAGTGAGTGAGTGAGTTTAGTTTTACGCCGCACTCAGCAATATTCCAGCTATAAGGCGGCGGTCTGTAAATAATCGAGTCTGAACCAGACAATCCAGTAATCAACAGCATGAGCATCGATCTGCGCGATGGGGAACCGATGACATGTGTCAACCAAGTCAGCGAGCCTGACCACCCGATCCCGTTAGTCGGCTCTTACGACAAGCATGGGTTACTGAAGATCAATATTCTAACCCGGACCTTCACGGGTTGATCCGCGTGATATATGACATACTGTTGAAGTGATAATTTGGCATTTGTTTACTTTGTAACCCGGGTAACCCTAAATGGGTAAAGGAATGTGCGGTTAAAGATACTTAAAGTCTTATCTGTCATTCTTGATAGGTAGCATGTCGTGCTTGATAATACAGCCACGTCGGAATCTGTTGATCATTTACGTCATACCATAAGGAATCTGAAGTTACGTAGTTTGTTATGAATTATCAATCACAACAGAATTCTGTTTTACTTTTAACAGATCACGTACCAAATGCATTTTCAAGCACATCCTTCACAACTAATACAACACTCGTACTTTTGTATATGTATCGCTATCCTAAAAACTCGCATGTTAATTCAGCAATTCAACTTATTGAATTCTCATCGCATCTGAAGCAGGGATGGAAATAACTTTAAAATTGCTAGTGTAATCCGGCACAGTGGCACGTGTAAAATCACTCGCCCTGATAATCTTTCCACTATACCGGCCGTTTTTTCTTGTTGATTTTTTAGATAAAGAACATAATTAACATTGGAAAGTCAACTGGACACCGGTACAGCGTGATATACGAATTTGCTTGCCCGACAGAAAAAAACACTGGACTGGGGCGTCGGGCAATGGGTTATTTCCACCCCTGCTGAAGGATTTACGGAAGTACAACCGGTAAGGTGCACGAGTTTATTCTACAATATTATTAATTCATGGACAGTTATCACTCACAGTTGGAGAGCGGAGGGTCCATATTAAAATGTGGCATATAATCACCGCGGGCTGTCATAGTTCAATGGTTAAAGCGTTCGCTCGTCAAGCCGGGTTCATTTTGCCCTACATAAGGTTGAAATTTGTGAATCCCTTTGGTAGTCGTAGCGTGTATGACATTTAATTTAGGGCGAGCGTTGAAAGAGAGTGAACTCACAACGATAGGGTGAGAGCTCACATGTTTATGAATCAGTTCTGCTTGCAATAGCTCTTGATCTGTAGGGGCGGTGGGGTAGCCTAATGGTTAAAGCGTTGGCTCGTCACGCCGAAGACCCGGGTTCGAATCCCCACATGGGCACAATGTGTGAAGCCCATTTCTGGTGTCCCCCGCCGTGATGTTGCTGGAATATTGCTAAAAGCGGCGTAAAACCAAACTCAGTCAGTCAGTCTTGATCTGTATTGTGCGTAATGAACATAACATTTGAAATAACCGGGCTTGAAAGATTTAACACCCATCACAGTTTATGCAAACATTTAGTAGTTAAACATTGTTTATATTGAATGGATGAGAGGGTATGAGTTTGGCAAGTGAGTGAGTGATCGAGTGAGGGCATGATTGAAAGTTTTGAATAAAATGACGTTTCTTTCTTAGATTTGTTGTTATGTTTTACATAAAAATTGCTTTGGCTATACAAATATTTGACTTAGATATTTGCTTTAGTTTCTTTGTTTAACGACGCACTCAGTAATATTCCAGCGGCCGTCTGTAAATAATCTTGTCTGGACCAGTGATCAACAGCATGAGCATCGATCAACGCAATTTGGATACGAAATTGCTACGTTTGACAAACAAGTCAGGGAGCCTGACCACCCGATCCCATTAGTCGCCTCATACGACAAGTATGGGTTGCTGAAGACGAATTCTAACCCGGATCTTCACGGTCCCGTAACTTTGACGAATTAGGCCGTTATCCGCTCGCATTTAAAAGGCAATATAGCATGATTAAATATTGGTGTAAGCTTCTTGTGTCTGAAAATAGTATTTTACGGGGTTGTTATGAGTATTTGTATGAGGAAGTGGAGACCCGTGGTGTTAAAAATTGGGCGTATCAGGTGAAATGGATTTTGTCGAATATTGGATTAAGTGAAATATGGTTAAGGCAGGAATTACCACTAGATTATCCAATAGTTATAAAAGAAAGAATAAATGACGAGGCTATTCAGTTAATCTTTAGTCAGCTGTCCAACTCATCGAAATGTGCAATTTATAAAAATATTATTAACCAGTGTACGCTACAATATTATTTATGTTAATCTATTCCATATCTTTATAGGAAGTACTTATCTAAATTCAGACTCCCTTCCCATAATTTAGCAATTGAAATTGGTAGGTATGAAAACATAAATCTTGTAAAAATAATCGAAAATGTCAAATGTGTAAAGATGATACTGAAGATGAACTACACTTTATATTAAAATGTCCATCATATCATAACTATAGAATAATGTATATTGAGCCATATTACTATAAATGTCCATCAGTATTTAAACTTATTCGACTACTTAGCATTAATAATGTTAAAGTGTTGTGTAATTTAGGGAAATATTTATATAAGGCCTGTTTATTAAGAAAGGAATTAATTAGTAAACAGTAGGGGTGGGTATTGCAGAGAATTTTCATATTGCGATATATTGCGATGCGAAAGCATGTATTGCGATATGTATTGCAATATATTGCATGAGGCATTTTTAAACCAAAAACTACTTATAATCGAGGTAATGCTTGATTTATAGAGCAAATACAGAGCAAAATCACTATGCTTGATTAAGCTTTAATAACAACTTTTATTCATGATTAAAAATAAAAATGTGAATAATATTTGGCACAAATGAAAAAAAAAAGAAATATCCGAAGATTTCCGAGTGTTACGAAGTTTTCCGAATGCAAGTCAAAATACCGGTTTTCGATCAGCATATCGCAATACGTATCGTTTTCATGTCTGAACCGGTAAATACAGGTAAACCGGTCATATTGCGCAGCCCTAGTAAACAGTAATTGTACACCCTCCTTTACCTTTACCTTTATCTCTATTCCACTGTCACCATGTCTGCAAACGTGTACCAATACCGATGTCATTGTACCAATTATCTGTACAGGTAACGGTAATAATCGAATCGAATCGAAGTTTACTTGACAATATCATCTATTTGCTTTAAAGCTTCAGCGTAAGTGCAAAATAATTTCGCAGCGTCTGTGAATGATTCGTAAACATTCTTTCACCTAGTTAATAGCCGTTGGTTTAAGCTTAATTGCATATTGACAAGTTTCTTTGCTCGATGCGGTTTCCAAACACGCATTTACCGAACGCCGCTACAACGGTGATCATACAAGTCAGCGCCATTAGGTCCTCGGTCAGCCAGTATAACACCTTTCATTCAGAACAAAGCCGTGTCTTTTGATGTCAATTGCTCATCTGCTTCGTCGCACACAACAATCAATTACAGAAAGAGGATCGCTGTCACATCAAAGAGAGACACAACTCCACACACTATGACAGCCGAGTTAATGCAGGGCTTCAATTATTTCCAGTGACCGAGTTCTCTCCCTTTGACTGATAGCCTCCTTTTGAAAAAAAAATCAAGACCGCTAATTTACGTATTGAGTTTGAATGAATTAGAATATCTGGCCAGCCGTTACGAGGAACGGAATAACAAACAGAAATAAAAATAAAAAACACTTGGAGAAATACATATATCATCTTGTCCTTTTCCTCGGATTGAGTCAGTCTGAGTAAACTTAGGCTCAGTATTTTTCGTTACTCTGAGTATGGCAGTGTAACGAATAATACTGAGCCTAAGTTTACTTTGACTGCGGATGGAGTATGGTTCGAGATTTCGAATGAAGGTAATCTTTCGGTTCTTGTAAAGAAGAGTAAAAAGAATACTCCTGGCAATATAATTGACTAAGACGATGATTAAAGTTCGTCTGGGATTTGAGTGAGTGAGTGAGTTTAGTTTTACGCCACTTTTTAGCAATATCACTGCGGGGGATACCAGAAGTGGGCTTCACACATTGTACCAATGAGGGGAATAGAACCCGGGTCTTCGGCGTGACGAGGGAACGCCTTAACCATTAGGCTATCCAACCGCTCTTTGTAAT